AAAAAAAAAAAAAAAAAAGGAAATATTAAAAATTCCCTACTTTAGCAGTGGTTCCATGTATAAACCTACCATTGTTTTGTTAGGTAAGACAATTTTTTTAGCAATCTGTGTTTATCATGCCAGTTCGTTTTAAAAAACAAATTCAGGACCCATGGAGAAACAGCAACTTCTACACAGTCAACAGAACAAGTTCGTCTGACAAGTTGCTTCTGGATAACAATACATAAAATCTAATCCACGACATCAGAAAAGACAGAGTTTTCTAACTTATAAAAATTTTCTTTCTCACACCTTTTTTTTTTTTCTCAATCACTGCATTATTTACATTCCTTATATTCTTTGCTACCAATAATGAAACACTATGCATACACAAATACAGATTGGCAGATTATAGTGAACTATTTAAGGAGAAGATGTAGCAGGAATATTTCTTATTGCTATCATCCTTAGTAAAAAGAGAAACCTACCAGGTATAATCACCAAAGTAGAATAATTTAGACTAGGGGGGACCTCTAAGGTCATTAAGTCCAACCTACTCCATGCAGAGTTGCTCAAAGCCTGTCCACTCAGGATCTGAAAATCTTAAGGATGCTGCTTCTACAGAGGGGACAAATCTCCCCCATCCTGGAGAGGCAGTGGGCCAAGGTATAAGCTAGATGTACCTAAAGAGTAGGTACAAAGAGCAAATACAGAGCATCAGTTTCCACAGGAATGACTGTCTACAGAGCCATAAAACTCTGTGCCATTCCCTCACTTTGATATCACCTGCTAGGACTGGCTAACTGGAAGACCTCGAGATGCAAACTGTTACAAGTAGTAGAGGCATTGGGGGAATTATCACAATACGCTTTCTTATACTCAGACCTAGGCATCTGATTTTTGGAAACTATCACCGACAGACTACGGGACCAGATGGATCAGCAGTTCTTAGGGTAATAGCGCCTTCTTAAGGTCTTTTAGCCAGCACAAGATGTCAAGAGATCTGTTAGTGTTACTGCATTGTTCCCTCACATGTTATTAGGCTACATTCTAGTATCTGCAGGAAATTCTTGATAGGACCTAGAGAACCTGATGGATATGATCACATCTGGTGGCTTATGCCCCATACAGCTCGTTTTGCTTCAATGCCTAGAATATGTGCCTCCACACTGTAAAAATTAATTTATGTGTATCACTAATTATTAAGCTTCCTGAGAGACTCAGTACAAAGGATATGGACTGACAGACATGGAAACTGATGTAATGTTTACATCTGAAAGGGGGCCCTGGAGGTCAGGCTGAGTAGAATACTCAAACAGCACTGCAAGGTTCATGTCTCTCGAGGCTGTCAATCTGTCTCCTGATGTATGAGCATCCTTTCATGACCTAAACTGCCCATTTTTGTTAGCCACAGAATTACGTCCAGTATGTTTCTGTGTATTTGTTAAAAGCCATATCATCTTGTCTTCCTGCAGATTATTAACTAATTATGCTTGCTAGGTGCAATGGTAATTACCATGGGAATTGCCTAAACATGTACTGTACAGCTATTAAAATATAAAGTCAGCAGAGGCCACTTTGAGTGCAGCTCTGGATTTCTGAGGAAGGTCATTCTTTAATACATTATGGGATTCAAACATAACAATACTAACAAGACTTTAGCGTGAGGTAGGTCCATTATAATTTTGACAAACTTTGAATGCTTCATATTTTGTGGAGACACCTGTGCTGTGAAATAAACAGGATCCACACTCTTACCTCATTAAGACAGAGCTCTGTATCTACAGATTCATTGGATTTCCGCTTCTTCTGTGCCTATGAACAAATAGAAAATTTATTCCCTGCACAATTCATACATACGGCAGCACAAAACAATTAGATAAATTCGCATGGGTTGTCATACTCCTATAATTTTGACAGTGATTTGCACATGATTAGCAAATAAACGCTCCAAATGTAACTACATGTTTTCCAATAACATTCACATTCTGATTTGAATTTACAGCAAAACTTCAAACAGTCAGCTAAGGGTACTTAGTAATTACAATGATGAGTGCCATCAGCTGCAGAGAACATGTTACGTTCTGCGGCCCCTTAAAAATGGTGCTGTATGTTCATGAGAAGAAATGAAATATGACAGTTAATAATTACCATAATATCACTGCATATTAACCAAAAAATCTATCATACGCCTCAGTTTTAGGAAAATATACAACACAGTAGTATCATATCCTTAATGATTCTTGCAACTTCTCCATGTATTATTACGAAAATACATTTTAATACATTGCATGGCTGCCACAGAGTCTCTTCTAGAACATTACAAGAAGAACGTTTTAATATACTTAAAAATACATACTTGTAATTCAAATTGAGCTGTTTGTTTACATTGTGTTCACTGATTATTATACATGGAATATTATTAAAGGCAGGAATATTTTAGATGATCAAAGCCTAAGAAATGAATCTGCTGTATCTTCAGCCATGTCTTATGATGAACATCCATCTGTTGCCATTACTGTGTGCTCTCCACACTGACTCAAGTAAGAGACATTTCTGGTGGCAGCACCATACAAAATGAAAGCAACAGCGTGCACTCTGCCTGGCATCATACTGTATTTAATATTTCCATTGCTCAAGTGAACATGACTGGGCTGGGAGTTACCTTCTTTTCTATAATAGCAACAGCAATCCCCATGGTGCTGAAGATATTTTCAATAAATGGTGCTGTGTCTGATTTAAGTACTTCAGTGATTCTCAATATAATTTCTTTCTTTGTATATTCCAGAAACATAAACAGTACTGTTTTATAGGAGCTACCAGTGTTAAATGTACAATCAAGTCTTCTAACAGAAGATGTAGATTTACACAGTGAAACTACTGACTGCACTGAGCACGTCAGATACTTCCTGGAAGTTTTGTTGGACTTGCGATTTATTTCCTGCAAAAAATAAGGATCTGAATCTCACTGTATTGCGTTCATTTTACACTGCAGAATTCCACCGGTTTTGGCAGAGATGGACTGAACTAAAGCCTATGTGCGGAAGTGCTTTTGAGGGATTTTATACCCTCAAAACATTCAGTTCCACGTGTGGCTATCTTATTTTATATCTGAGAGCCACTGGTGCTGCCTGTGGATACAAAATATTCTTTGACCTAATTACAGATTTTAGAATCCAAATGAAGGAACTGAACTTCTCATTAGGAAGCACATTCCCTGTTTTTCAGGATATTTTTGTATTTATAAATAGATCTATCAGAGGCAACTGAAAAACTAAAACAGCTGGGATTTAAGAGAAAGCTCAACTATAGGAAGAATGCATACTGTATATACATTGATAGTTTTTAAATATATGACAAAATAATAGCTCAGTTCATTAATAAACACCCTCTGTGAAATCTCTCTCTTACATACCCTTTCTTCTAATTAGTGCCATTAAAGTGGTTATGGTAAGCATAAATTTAACTATCTAAATGGAAAAAGCAATGTCTGGAAGTAAATTTGCTATAACAAGAAGCAACATGGTGAAGCCCTCCTGCCACGTTTGCAGTGGTGGTGGTATTCACACAGGTTAGGAAACTTCTTTTAAATGGCATCTGGGTAGATTTCAGCTCCTAAAAGGCAGGCTCCAAGGAAATGGGTAGAGAAGGAGAAACTGGATTTAAATCCTGGTGTTTACCCACAGTACATTGCATTGGAATGTGAGGCTTCAGAGGAGGTATGAGTAGCTGTTCAGAACTTAACAGTGTAAACTTTTACGACTGTATAAGCCTCATATTTCTTAGTTTCCCATTCAGTGCTAAATTTCCTAGTCCACACAAACATCAGTCTGTTGGAAACATTGTGCTTTGCTGCTTACCAACTGCTTTGGATTCCTAACACCATGCTAACTACCGTCTACCCTTGGTAGTTAGTCTCAACACTAAAGTTAGAATTTATGTTCCTTCTGTACTGTGTCTCTCATATGACAAAAGATAAAAATACTATTTTGTCTATAAGCAGTAAAGTCTTCCTTTACTTCATTCAGCCTGATAAACAATAGAGTGCAGCACCTAAAACATATTGAACCTTGAGAACACTATTTTAAGGATAAAATCAAGAGCTGGAAACAAAATCAACATAAAAAAACAAAAAAAAGCTTTTCAATCATTTTGATCAATATTCCCTAGCATTGATTTGGAAGGTAATAATTCTCCATATCCATATACTTAATGCAGTCATTCTAAAATCAACAACACTTATCCACATGCATCCTTTATTATAAAGTCCTCCTTTCTTAGAATTGAAAAGTAATTTTAATAATCAGTCAGCCTTTTCTCTTATCAAAACAGAAAGCACAATATCTTCCATTTAAAAACACAGCAAAAATGCAACTTCTTTGAGGGCAGGGTGGAAGTAGGAAGAAATAAAAAACTATAATTTTCAGGATGAGACATTGTATGCCATGTTTCAAATTGGAAGAGTACATTTTTACTGTTGAGTTATAAACCTGTAAAAATGGGTTGTAATGGAAATGCTGGCATAGGCTGCACTACTATAATACAATAGCGCATCACTAAATCACAAGTAAAGGGAAAAAAACCCACCTACATATTGAGGACAGTGCTAAAAAGAAAGCGTATGTCCTGCAATTACAACCTAAGAAGAAAATTCTTCCTGCTCTACTCTTGAGCAGAAAGGACTCTACATGTTACAGAACTTCAGTATTTGTGCTACAGTGAGTGAACACCTTATCAGAAGTAAAAAATCAGGGCTTGGAAGTTATGCTGATAGCTTTGTTGGAAATACAACCAGACTGGGAGATGTGCATTTGAATTATGAAGTGTCTCCTCATCCATGGGATATTTATCTTACAATTTCTTCTATTATCCCCCAAAATTAAAAAATAGAAAAGAATGCCCATCATGTATCAGCTGCAGACAATTCTGGCAGGGAATATCTATGCCATCAACAAATTTGGGAAATGAGAGCTGTTCATTACACAAGATGCCAAAGATTCACTGCTAACCCCAATCTCAGGTCTCCCACATGCCTAACACACAGGCAGGAAGGTACCTTCTGAGGTGCTAGAAATACGTAAACTCACAGGAGCAAAATAGCACACAACTCGCCAGGTTGAACGGGGCTCTGAGCAACCTGATCTAGAGCAAGGTGTCCCTGTCCATGGCAAGGGAGTTGAAACTAGATGATTTGTAAGGTCCCTTCCAACCCAAACCATTCTATGATTCTATAGCTAGTAAGTCTGTATTCAAAATAACACTTTTTTGAATTTTAATATAAATCTCTAATCTAGTCACAAAAATATCTATGGGAATTTCGTCATTAGACAAAACACAAGCAGGGCTGGGCTGATAAAAATAATAATCAAAAAACAGTGAAAGAAAAGCAGCTTAAAATAACTGGTTAAACATATGGAAAGAGGTATGAGATCTTTTCTACTGAGGTAAAATAGCATTTGTTAATGACTTATACACTCAGCTGTGACATGCCTCTGACTGTAAACCAAAGTTATGTAAGACGGGTTGACACTCACCCTGACTTCACAGGGAGCTGTAATTCAGTAATGTGGGCTACTCTGACGAAGCTGCCCCCATACTGCCAACAACCTTGCACTCACTTAAGCTTTTATATTCTGTAAAAACGAACATCTGCTTTTCCAGAGAATCTTATCACTGTGGTAGCACAAGCAACAGATGATATTTAGAGATAATCATATTCATGCACCTCCTGATGAGCTTCAGTATCCTGTATGTTAGTCACACAAGCCTTGTTTTGGTCTTTGCAACCTTTAGCTTTTAATATTTGAACTAAAGTGTTGGACTCAGTCAAAAGTTTGTAGAGAAATCCATTTCATGCCTAGAAAATAAAAACTCTCATGACCAGAAGCAAAATTTTACTTCTTTCTTTCCTAGAAAGAAAGGAGACTCAGGACTGGTAGAGGAACTGGCGGCTTTCTGAGAGGAGAAAGAAATATTGCTTATAGAGATATGTCTCCTCCAGACACAGGATTCCGTGGATCTCCATGTTTCCTTCTAAACCCAATGGCTCCTAGATGAGTTCAAACATCTGTGCTTGCTCAGGCACACCCTAACCTAGTCTTCTCTTGTCCTGCTCCTAATAACCACCATAAGATCCTCCCAAACCTAGCAATTCTTTGCTTCCCATCCCATCCCCCAAATCCCTTTACCTCCATCCTGTGCAGAGACTATAGCCCTGGATTTATTCCCAGAAATGCTATCTTGCAATTATGCATCCAGCTTCTACAAATCACAGCACTACATGGTTAATAAATGCATTAAACACTGCAGCAGTACCTCACCAGCAGTTATTTATGGCTTGTCATCCAGCAGTATTTTTATATATCCACTACAGCATGCGTATCTGTTATTCACAGCGAAGAAAAGGTCTGACTAGGGACGGCTCCAAACACAGGTGAGTTTTAATTTGGTGGGAGGGGAGGGAAAGAGAAGAACGTAAAGCAAAATAAATGCATTAGACCTGGATGCAAACAGGCACAGAGTGAGCACCTGAACTCAGAAACCAGTCTCCTGCTGTTGGTCACACACTCTGGGTCTTGCGTGCTTTAGGAAATGTACTGCTCAGACATTACAGTGAGAGACAACAGAAGTATCATTACGATAGGTATCTGTTATGTGGGTTGTTTTGTCAGCTAATTTTAATGAGTGTGCCTTTGTCCTCTCCTGAGATGCCTGGTTAGTTATGCCCCTATTAACAAGCCTTTCTGAAGAAGAGGGACAAATCTCCCAGAATACATCCTTCAAATGACCATGTTTCTGAAGTAGCTATAACAAGT